GCCTTCCCCTTAATTCACAGGTAACTGCTTCTCATGACAACTCCATTACAAGCAGCTCCTCTAACTCAGCCTGACAAACAATTTGGGCTACCGAGGTTGTTCTGGTCCCCCAGCATCCATCCTGGTGCTTCTCACGCAAGTCCCAGGACTACGGGCTGTATTTCCAGGCTATGCAGTGACAGAATCTGGGACAGACTCAGGACTGCTCCAATGCATCCCAAACTACAGCAGCCTCTTATTTCCACCCACCTGTTATTTCTTGTTATTGTTATTGCTTGTTATCTGTTATTGCTTGTCCTACATCTTTAAAAGTATTGCTTGTCCTACCCCACGCCTTTCCTTCACACCCAGAAAAGGACACGTCTCTCTCAAGGTCCTTCAAAGCTCTTTTAATTGCTGCTTGTCTCAAGGTTTCTATGCCCTCCTGCACTGCTACTGGCATCTCGCTGCATCTAAGGCCACCTAGCACAACACACACTGAAAAGAACAAACAAAGGTTTATTTACTATTCTTACAAACCCATATTTCATTTCGGCACCAGAATTATACTGGGAGATCATTCAAGGTTATTTAACACCTTCAAACTATCTGGCTACTATCTGAGTTGCACTAAATTGCCAAAATTCGGCATTTTCCTCAAATGGTTTGAATTCCACCCCCATCAAGCCTGCACACCGCTTGGGTTACAAGTTCTTCCAGCCAAATCCACCTTTCAGTAAAATTGCCACACAAATCACGAAGGAGGGATGATCCAGAGAGGAAAAGGCACGCTTTACCTCAGCGCTCCCAGCCTCGTTTTTCTGTTTTCCCTAGAGAAAGCAGCTCCCGGAGGCTGGGAGGGCAACGGGGGGGCCCTGGCGCTGCAGTTACGCCGAGGCCGCCCTAGGCACAGCCCGGGCCTCTCTCTCGAGCTGCTCTGCCGCTCGGGGGGCGAATCCTCCTGCAAAACTCGAGGCCGCCTCTCCCCATCTCCAACCCCCTCCCAAGCGAGGGGCTGGAGCCTGGCGCCCGCCTTGCTGCCGGGACACACCGGGATCGCGGGAGGGGGGTCAGGCTGTCCGCGCTCCGGGGCGGGGGACGCGGGGTAAGGGCCGCGAGGCCCAAGCGCCGCCCGGGCCTTGGGCGCCTCGTGGGCGCCCGGGGCGGTGCCGCTGCCCGGAAGCCCCGGCGGTCACGGGCCCGACGGGAGGAGGC